TGTGAAATTAATTTTATATAGCTTGGAATATTTCAATTATTAGATTTACTTGACAATTATACAGCGTGACTCACGGTCGATGGTAGGTTAGACGTTTCTGGAAAACGCAATGCACGATTTTTCTGAAAATTTCACCTCTCACATTTCTTTACCTGTTCTATCGATATAAAATATTTTCAGCATTGCGGCGTTGCCACTTCTATCAAAAAGTCCTAGCAATTATTTTTTTTTTAATGAAACACCCCGTATATTAATACATTTTTGGAATCGCTCTAGTATTTTAATACTTTTTTGTTAATAATGTCCTATACCTATCTCTATCTGTTTCAGAGATAAAAAATAAATTGTGCTAAATATGGTCCAAAACAGCTTTAATTGAAATTAAGTACATCAGTACTCTCAATTCATGAAAAGTTGATATTTTGATGATAGTTTGGACAAACTCGAAATATTTAAATAACACCAAGAAATCGACTCCATATTATACAGGGCGTGCTAAAATTATTATTATTTCCATTGTGCATAAAAGTAGTCGAAAGTTCATTTTTTCAAATGAAACCCCCTGTATATTACTCGATAAATTGAAAGATGGTGAAAAATGCTTCAAGATGATATACATGTCCCTATACCTAAATCATCAAGTTTTTTTAATAAAGCCGTTTTTGTGGAAAAATAGTTATTCACGTTTTACCTACAAGTGTTGAAAGTGGCATTTTATTTTGTGAGTGGGGATTATTGCAAAACGAGCGTCAGCAAGTGGAGCAAACTCACGAGCAAAATAAAATCACTTTTAACAAATGTATCATACAATTTTTTTTTGTATAACGTTACTACTGATAATAAAAAAAATTATAGGGTCCATGGGATTTGAACACACCATCTTTGGATTACAAGGCATATGTTACAACTACATACGCCAACTCACGTTATTTTAAGGAGGATTATTGGTTAGTCATGAAGGACTTTCTACAGTTGGACTGAATACTACTTCGTCATCGTCAGTAACTTCACAGGGATTTAATATTACCAATAGCACGAACTGCATGTGTGAACTTTTCTAAATGATTTTTTGGTAGGTGTTCTGATTGAAGTGTTTCTATCGAAGAGATTTTCAATAACAGTTGTACAAAAAGTTATTTTTATAGAATTTGATTTCTAGGTAGCCGTGGAAATATCAAGCTTATGACAGTTTGGTGACTTTTATAAGTAATTGATAAATGGTTATTGACGGTGTTTCAAAAAATCGCCAAAAGTGAATGCAAATATTGATTATTTGAACGAAGTTCTTATGAAATTATTCATTATACACGGGCAGTGTGATCAAATCATTGCCAGGACCAAATGTATCCTGAATTAACACTAATGAACGGGAGGAAGTTTGTGAGATTATAAAATAATTTCCTATGGCTCATGTTAAAAGCGCCTTCAACATTACCAAAACCTGCTACTTCAAATAAGGATAATACTGTTAAGGTTTTGGTATATTTTTATGCATATCCAGAATCTTCCATTCGCAGTGCAGAAAAAGATTTAGGTGTATCACATGCTTCAGTACAACGAATTTTGAAAAATCACGGAATGCATCCGTATAAATTTACCAAAGTTCGAGTGCTAAAAGCAGAAGACTTCGAACGTATAATGCATTTTTGTAATCCCTTTTGATTCATACACAGGAAGATCGGGAATTTTTGTCAAAAATAATTTGGAGCGACGAATCAAAATTTATTCAACTTTTCATGAATTGAGAGTACTGATGTACTTAATTTCAATTAAGGCTATGTTTTGGACCATATTTAGCACAATTTATTTTTTATCTCGAAAACAGATAGAGGTAGGTATAGGACATTATCAACAAAAAAGTATAAAAATACTAGAGCGATTCCAAAAATGTATTAATATACGGGGTGTTCCATTTAAAAAATATAATTGCTAGGACTTTTTGATAGAAGTGGCAACTCCGCAACGCTGAAAATATTTTAGATCGATAGAACATGTAAGGAAATGTGAGAGATGAAATTTTCAGAAAAATCATGCGTTTTCCAGAAACGTCTGACCTACCATCGACCGTGGTCACGCTGTATAAGGACACATTATAACATTAATTTAAGACACTCAAGCCGCAGGTACCTAGAACAGGTAGATACCTGTATCTATGTACGGTATACCTGTATGGTATGAATAAGGATAGCTTATGATTAGTTTGGCCTTCCTCTTGAAGAGGATCACTTAATGATCGAAACACTTCTCGAGATGTTAAAATAACGGTTTGGTTTTGAGAAAAAACTCCAGTTATATTCATATGGAGCTACAAAAACAAATGAAATTAAAACGGGCATTAAATCTAGGAGCGGTGTCTGCCAATCTCGTCTTCCATTATTTGTTTGTAAATCGAGTCAGACATCAATTCTTCAGCTACTTGTTGCGATGTGCAAACAGGGTAACCTCTTGGTTTAGTATAGTATTGTGGATAATCTAAAATGTTTTTGACATTTATCTAAGTAATCCAGCTTATACATAGCAACAGTAATATTGTCTTTATCACTCTGGACTATGTACATTTCGGGATATTGTTTAAGAAAAGCTCCATATACTTTATCTGTTGTGATGTATTGTTAAGCTTCAATATTTGTAACTGTAAGGAGAATATATTATCATTATCATTGATTTACCTTTTTTCTTTTCTCTTCAGCTCCCTCCTGTTGCCACAGATCTCCAATTCCCAACAAACAGTCGTCACACCTGCACACGTCACTAGTCGTGGTAGAACTGATGGATCCGAAGGAACTAGCCGAATCAGCACTATCAGTTCTAACCAACTGCCTGCCAGGATGTCCCAGAGTCACCTGTTCCATTTTGGCCACGAGTAGGCTTTCCATCAGCGACTTGGGTCTTGAAGAAGATGGTACAGGAGATAGAGGGCAAGGACTAGGTGACTGTGTTTTAGGGGAGATATCACTGGACGTCTTTAAACTGCAATCGACGGTAGGTCGTTTGGGTGGCTTAGGATCCGTCATCTTTACACTTTGGTTCATAACTGCATTATGAGATTCAGTACGTCATAGAGAATTATGTCCAGGGAAACACATTTTACTAAGGTTCAGCTCCCGACATACAACTGTTGTAAAGATAGTAACTCACGTAAACAATAATGGAGAATAATAATATAATCATTTTTCCGTCCAAGTTTCACAACTGCCAAGAACTAAGAAGAAATAAGAACAAATAACGGAAGTTATTTCACGGATATTGTTCTGATTTATTACATTTTTATATGAACTAATTGAAAGGGATACAAAGTGCTCCCCAAATTTCAACCTTTGACAAATCTGAAAGAAAAATGTGATATCATCTCACGTATTTTCTGTCGTTTCACTATATTTTTATAAATGATTGAATCACAAATTTTATTTGTCACTTTGGAATAATATTACCAATTTCAGTACCGAAACTATGATTAGAAGTCTATTAAATAGTAAATTCTACATATTGACAGGTATCAATAGATATAAGGTCACATAAAATGAAAATTAACAATTTCCTGGAAGCAAAATATATGACAGGTAATAATTAGTAGTCCATTTCATAGTTACTCAATATTTTTCATTCACTAAAGTTGGTAGAAACATTTATTCTGCAAGTAAAAGTCCCTGAACTGTGTCAATAGATTTAAGTCCAGATGAAATAAAAACTACTGATTTTGATTAAGCAAAATAGTATAGAAAGACGTAATTCGAAGTCTGTTTTATAATTTCATGGTATTCACATTCAGTAAGGTTAGTTGAGTAGATAGGTTCAAAAAATTAGATGAATATTCAAATTTCACGGGCTACGTACATTTAATTAGCGCTTGTTTCATTTTTTTTATGTGGGTACACTTTTCTCGAACTTATGTTCACAGTGTCAGCTGTTTAGCATGTTCAGTTCCAGTACGAACTATCATGTTCAGTTTGTTGGTGAGAGGTAGTGAGAGAAATGTTGTGCATGTTCGGAGATATTCTACTTTTGAAAAAAAATTTATCAAATAATTTGCATCAAATTATGTGTGAAACGTGGAATAATGTGCTCAAAAACACTTGAAATGTTGACAGTGGCATACGGTGATAAACAATTTAATAAACACATTATGCAAAAAATTCATATTCTATGTTAATAACTGCCATTGTTTGATGTGAAAACAGACATAACTGAATATCAATTGAAAAAAAAATGTTATCAACAATTTTTAGATATTTCCTTCTGCAATAGTTATAAAAAATCATAATTAACAAATTAATAAATTTTTATGCACTTTTATCGCAGGATCATATGAAGTATATATATCGAAAGGGCTCTGCGAAGTTTAAAATTTACAGGCCAGTTATTTATACCTTTTATTCCATTATTTATGCCAATGGAGATTGGGAAAAAATTTGTCAGTTAACAATTGAATAACTTTTTGAAAAATGGTGATAAAACTTTTTTTGTACGGGACTCGATTCCTTCAAGTGTTAAGAAGATACTAGATTTTTTCAAATTTTTAAAATGACATTTTATGTTATAAAAAAATTATTTCTTTTGATAAAATCTCTTTAGCGGCAGTGCGCTCATGCCGTAACAGCCGCGCGGAACCCTATTTTCAACGTCAAATTAAAATTATAAATAATGGAGATAGAGTTTCGGGAGTTTTTAATCGGAAATTTCCTCCTCTTTAACGAATTTTTTTCAAAATTGCTTAAATATTAATATTTTTTGAATTATTAACGAAAAACTAATTAACGTTTTTTCAAATCTTATTTTGTTAATAGCAATTGAAATTTTTTACCTGCGCCAAAATCCTTCAAAAACATTTTTCTAGAGGTGACTCCGAATCGAATGAACTATCGTTCATACTTTTAGGACCTTCATCTCTATTTTTCATGTTTTTGAACTTGTTGATTAGACTATCTTACCACATGGTCGTACGGTCAATAAGGAGTATTATCTTGAAGTTCTGAGCCGTTTGCGAGAAACAATATGAAAAAATCGTCCGGTATTGTGGAATGTGGTATGCTGACGAATATTAATCGATAAAAAACTACGTGAATAGTTTCAGTTCACTTTGAAATACGTACTGACTAAGCATTCCGCTGGTCATAGTCTTGTCCAGTCACAAATTTCAACTGTACCTTTCAAATGTTGTATGCCATATTATTACCATATTTGAAATCGGCAAAATACAAATACGAAACACAGTAAGTCAATGAATCTACCAATGTAAAGTTTCGTTTTAGGCTGAACAACAGGATATATTGAAAGTTAGTGAATAAAATATTCTGAATTGGTTTGTAAGTAGTAACTAGTCTTTTCAGAAAATGTACTTCTTCACTAATCATTCATTTTTGTGTCAGACTAGACCATCAGTGAAAAAATCTAAGAGAAAAGAGAAAATGTATGTCAGCTTTCTTGTAATTTCAAGAAATAACATTGTTCTGTTCCAGATTATCGAAGAGAAGAGTTTTCATATGTATTTATATACTTCCATCTGCAGTTCTCAACTATATTATAGTACAACTCGATAAAATGGTTTGTGAAATTTTTCTGAATAAACTTCTGAATTGTGTAGTTTCAATTTGGTAAGAGTGAAAAGGTAAGCTGTTTCAATAAAAAGTAAATTTTCATGTTACACATGATCCGACATTTCCTTTCTCAATGTCTCCTTTTATCTAACTGAACTGAATAGTGCATCATGGCCTGCCAGGATGATGTCTTCAACATCTTAGTCTAGCGTAGTCGCGTGATAGATATAAAGGTTCCTGACACCAGGTGCAGGTCCTGCCGCAGGGCTCCGGAGACACTAATGTACTTACTAACTCCATGCTCAGCTAAGAGTGCTTCATTACCAACTACGGCACTTTCACGGTATTGACGAGGCACCGGTGTTGCCTTATAATCAGGGAATCTGTGCCAAAGTGCCAAATTCATTGGAACCATCCGTTCCCCTACTCCGCTTGATGAAGTTGGTGATGATCGAGTTTTCGGCTCCGGGCGAGAGGAATATTATCCAAAAAATGAAACAAAAACAAATACTCTATCCAGGCTACTCAGCTAACATGGTTGTTCAGATTGAAATCTTTGGTGGAATGATGGCTTCACTACTCTCGAATGTCAAGGTCATGTCGGCTGGACGCAGTTGGGCAGAAAATTTGGTGGGACAAATATAGAAAGCTATCATTCTTGGATCATTGCGTCCACTAAGGCCACACGATTCTCGGTAACAATGATCAGTCACCTCACGTTCTGGAGGGTGGTTATTGGTTGGTAATGTAGGTGCGACCTTCAAATGTGTCGTTGTTACGGAACTGGGTTCAACCACTCCAACCCTTTAGGTGATAATGATGATGATAATGTTTATACTTGATGATAATGCAAAGCAAATTCAAATCAACGAAAAAACGTAGCCACCATATGAAATTCAATACACGCGTGGGCTAGCCTATCTAAACAGTTTTAATCTAATTATGCAATACAATACGAACAAACATGTAACAGTATCAATTATAGAGGAAGTGCCAATATGGACTCACAACAACATTGACGATTAAAACGACTTCGAACAATATATGGCTTTGAGCAAAGCTAAGATTTTATTTTTCTTGGAACTTTCCAAACTCAGAATGAAAATTAATTCTCAGAAAGAAACCGCATGTCACAAAAGATAAAAAAAAGGATCTTCATGGAATATTACGCACACGAGTTGAGTTCACCGCTGTACATATAATAAAACTAACGGATACTTGATGAAAATCCAGTATAACGTATTGAAAAAAACACTGCAATGTTAGATTTCCACAATAGTTTTATGATGCCTGATGGTGCTATCGTATAGCAAAACAAGTATCGCATTTTTGTTAACTTTCAAGTGGAAATCCTGCATTGAAGTATATTTTTTTGAATACTTTATAGATTTAAATGCTACTCACTCTTGATTTCTTAGCTCCTCACATTTATGAAACAAAGATCTCGAATGAAAAGTGACCCAACTACTGTTTTAACGTTTGGCGAAAGCGCCAGGACCGTTAATTTTTTTTTTTACTTGGTTTATATAGAAAACAACCCAATTGTATTTAGGTGTGAATTTCATTCATCAGGTATACTGAAAGAAAAATAATAATGAAAGCTGAGGTTTGCAACAAGCAACAATTACTAGATGGAGCGATTATGATTTGATCCAACCAATACAGACTTCATCAATACCTATCTTGGATATTGTGTTTACATGTTTTTGCAATTTTATCACAACAGTTCATGAAGCGGCTACTGCTATCAATATCATGAATATTTCGTGATCGTGTTAATTTCTGAAAGAGGATTTTTAATTTAAAGCTTTTCTTTAACTTGACTTGTATGTATGTTAACAAGTTTAATTTGACCCACTTCCCGGTATACGATTGAGCTGAAATTTTGCATGCTGGTCCAGAACCGATGACAATGCATGTTAATCATAAACGTGACCTGATGCTGCTGCCAGGATCGGCTCCGTACAAGAGATCCCCTCAGCGGTAAATAGCAGGGACACGAAATTTTGTATACGCATTCGTTTATGATAGGCAGTTGGTAGGCCCAACATGAAATAGATGCCACATCCAGGGTTGGCTTCAATAAAAAATATATATTTTTGAAAAAATTAAATCAAGCTTTTACCTTTAAATAACTACTTCCCGACTCTAAAAAGAAGACAATAAATGGTGTATTAGGTTGTAAGAACCCATATTTATTTGCATTGGGAAAAAATATTATTATCTACCACTCTCTAAGTTCCCAGAGTAAGAGGGTACCTCACGCAATGTGAGCAACAGGCACAAGAGGCATACCATGACTTGTGCAATTTGGTGAGATGGGCGTCATTAGCCTTGGTCTGCAACCCGTCTAGGAGAAGAAAAACTCCAAAATCAAACCCGGAACGGTGTTTCGTCAGGCACGAGTAAGCTCTAAGCTGGAAAAAGTGGTGCATCTTTCACCAAATTACCACACAAGTCAAGGTGAGGCCGTGCCGAGGACTGAGTGGCATCAGGGTGTGAAATTATGTCGTGAACGTACTACCTCAGGGCACCGGGGCGCACCCTGTTGTATATTAACTCTTAACCTGCTAAACGAAGCTCTGTGTAGCTCCATTAACGTACTGTGTAGGTTAATGGACTGATACCTATCCTGGCTAATACCACGAAGGGCGTTGGATTATATCCGACAGATATAATCCAGATATATATCCGTCGGATATAATCCAATGCCCTTCGTGGTATTAGCCAGGGGAGTAGTTGTTTTCTGATAGATGTCAGTCCATGAACCTACTGTGTAGGGAGTTGAGACTGGCCTGAACGAATTGTTCTTAGATAATTTGACTATGGGAAATAAAGAAACATCAACATAAAGGAAAAGAAGGTTAGAGAAAGAAAATTTAAAACGAAATGAAAAACTTGCCAATGAAAGCGTTAACTTGAAACGCCAAAGACTTGACAAGGTTAAAATATGCATGCAACGAATAAGAGCAGCCGAATCCGACGATCAACGTGAGGCCCGCCTAAGTGCGCCAAAAGAACATAACTCTCAAATTAGAGCAGCCGAGTCCACCAATCAGAGTGAGGCTCGTTTAAGTGCGTTAAGAGTACATAACTCTCAAGTACAAACACAAGAAGTAGGTAGGTACCTACTTCTATAGAATATAGTTTATCCTTATAATAGTTTTTCCTGTTCCTTAAGTTTTTCTGTCCGTTTCATAGATGGACTTTCGTATTGATTGATAACTTGAAAATCTTTAATGATAGAGTAGATTCAATTGAATCAGGTAAATCACTGAATTGAACAAAACCTTTATAAAATAAACTGCTCATACTATTGCTTGTAAATACAAGGAATAGTATGAGCAGTTCTATTTATATGAATGTGACTGTTGTGCCTAGTAGAATGGTGATGAATGTACTTATTGAAAGTTATTAATGATAGCAAGTATGGTGGGTTCATTTTATTTAATATTTTATAAATGAAAACCATAGAATAATCTTTTGGATAGGTACTGAGAGCCATTGTAGAGCAGATAGCATGATAGAAATTGGTGTATACCTATTACATTTTAAAATTATTCTCATTCCTCGATTTTGTAGTTTTTGTATTTGTTGCACTTTGTTCAAATTAAAAGAAAATAAAATAGATGCACAGTAGTCAAAATGGGGTTGGATTATTGATTAATATACCATAATTTTTGTGTCTGTTGATAAGTTATTGGCGATTCTTGAGAAGAAATATAATTTTTTTGCAATCTTTTTTTTCAATATATTTGAAGTGGTCGTCGAATGATGAGCAATTATCAAGTTGAAATCCCAAATACTTCACTGATACTACTATACTATTTCTATACGTTCATCTTCAATTTTTATATTTATGTTGTTTGTATTTATTTGATTATATTTGAATTTAGTAGTAATTATCATTGCTTTTGTTTTTTTAACGTTAGGTTTCATTTTATCGGTTTTCAGATATTTTTCTACTTTCTCTAGGACTTCATTCATTCTGCCAAGAATTTCTTTTAAATTTACTCCAGTACAGACCAATAAGGTATCATCTCCAAAAAAGTTGATGAACTCACAGTCTGTAAATAATTGAATATCAATCAGATACAGAATGAATAACAGGGGACCAAGCACACTACCTTGTGGCACTCCAGTGTGATTTGTTATATATGATGAGAAATAATCGTTCACACGTACTCTCTGTTTCCTATTTTATAAATAATTACTTATCCATTCAGAAACCATCACCTCAAGCCCATATCTTCTCAGCTTCTGAAGCAAATTACTTCTATCAATCGTTTCAAAAGCCCTTTTGAAATCAAATCTAAGAAGACAGCTACAAAATATTTACCTTTATCTGTTTCATTAGTGAATTTAGTTAATGATAACTGTAGTGCTGTTTCACAAGAATGTTTTTTTCGAAAACCAGATTGATTGCTAAACATGATTTGATTTTTGTCAATAAACTATAATAATTGATTATATACTAACACTATTTCTAAAACTTTCTCTATTGGCGGTAAGGTATTAATAGGTCTAAATTCACTTGCTTTTATAGTGTTTGTAACTTTAGGTATGGGTATAATGGTACTTATTTTTTCAATAATTCGGACAATTGATCATTCTGGAGCGATGTATTGATCAAATTGAGGATTGCATGACCAGCTGTTTCAAATACTTTCTTAACATTTTAGAATCCAAGATTTCATGGATACTACATTTATTATCTAATGACTCAATTATATCATTCAAATCTCTTAAGGTAATCAATCTGAAGGTGCTGAAGGGCAAATATAAATTATTATCTAAATTAAACCATGGTTCGGAATTCTCAATACCTTAGACTATATGTTGGATGCTGTTTACAAAGTATAGGTTGAAAGTTTCGGCCATGTCAGGTTCACCTTTTTTAGTACTTACTACCCCTGCATCTTCAAATTGCATTAGGTTAGCAAATGTATGATCATTACTATCAACAATTGTTTTTAAGGTTTTCCACATCAAATGAGAATTATTATTGTATCTGTCTATTTTGTTATGATAATACTGAACTTTCTTTATTTTC